GCCAAAATACAAGTATCACATGTGAAGTTGGAGTCCTTGAAAGAAGAGAATAAATCGAGTATAAGATACTTCATATAACTAAAAGACGGATGTCCTAATCGACGGTGCCATAACCAGATTTGCTTTTGATTGCTATCAAAGGGATGCGTCATACTGTTAGCTATGTGTATGGGTCTTTTTTGTTCCAATAGCCTAACGAATGAGCTTGGGCTGCTGTAAGAGAAAGACAAACAAAATTCCCCCAGTGTCTGAGTTCAAGAACTAGGCTCCCCAAAAGAGTTTTGAAAAGTTTGCTGAAACTTTAGAAAACACTTTTAGGTTCTTTTTACAAATAACCAGATGAGCATAACAAATTGATAAGTGACTTGGCTTGAGGAGCTTGTGGCATGGAAACTAAGCTTTCACAAATTTAGCAATATGAGTGAGAGTGAGAGAGAGAGAGACAAAAGCATGAACTTCCTACAGAGAGAAAAGGTTCTATCTTAGAAAAGGAGAAAATAATAGAAGTAGAAGATGAGATGTCTTGAGTAAATTTCCAGTCGCTTGACAAAGGTTGGTCAAGCTCTAGATGATGTGTTTTGTTGGGTAGAAGAAGCTCCATTTTATAGGCACTTAGAACCCTAATTTTATCGATATTCCATTCTCACTTTTTCTTCGCCTATTTCCATTCAATCATATTTGGTGAAATTTCTCTAACCAAGGTGCATAGGTAATGAGCCCTTTAGGGTTCCAAGAGTTTTATGTAGCTGGACCTCTCCATAAGTGTGAGGCGTCACCTACTTTCTTCCTTGGTTTTCCTATTGGAGCTAGCAGAAGAAAGGGAGAATGGATAGAGCGTTTGCCCAACAAGTATTCCTCTTACACATACGAATTTCTTTTGGTTTTTACAATGGCTTCTCGTTGACTCTGTCATATTGCTTTAGGCAGGGGCTGAACATGATGCTAGATATTTTATAAGCCATTGGATTGGGCTTTTCCTAAGGTATTGGGTCTTTGGTACTTTATTTCCAGCGGCCTGTGAGTTTGTTTTCATCAGGTTGCTGGAAGTAGTTCACCTGCTTCGTTTTTGACAAATTAACTAACATGGGGATTTCTAAGTATACCATTAGATATTCTTCTAAGGCATTGGATCATTTTTTTTTTCTCTCTCATGCTAGCCCATGTGCTTGGGCTCAAGAAATGGGCTTGAGTTTTAGTGCTTTCAAGCGGCCCGAAACTTCCATTCCTTGATCCCTCAATGGGCCTTGTGAGTGCTTATACCCATCCATACCACAACCTTCTCAACAAGCCTCTGATATTTACGTGGCTTGGGCCCATTTAAGCCTATAGTATGGCTTAGCATTAGAATAGCGGTCCTTTTGCTTGGCATCGCATGCTTATTTAGCATGCTTGTGCTTAAATTCTATTATGCCGTAATAAGTCATGACCGGACCTAGTAGCCCTTGATAGGTCAGTAAGAGTGAATATATAGAGCCGGTGCATTTTTTTGACGCGACGGGCGTATGTGTTTGCTTGGCGTGGCTTGTGGTCCATAACTCGTGCAGGTGCACCCATAAGTTCTCTTATATCCCAATTGGGCTCCTTTTGTGGTTTAAATATTTGTGCTCGGCTAGGAATAAGTCTGGGCCCAGCCCTTGGATTTTTGGGACTCAACACCATGCCAGGACTGAAGTTATCTACATAATATAGCCCCCTTCTCTTAGTACCACAACCGAGAATCTCCTGAGTGTGAATATCCTGAAGTAAACAAAAACTCGGGTAAATGAATACACAACAATTCAATTGTTCAGTAAGCTAACTAACTAATAACAATTTATTGGATAAAGATGAAACACGTAAAGTATTAGATAGTGAGAGAGAAGATGATAGTGCAACAGTGTCAGCCCCTGTCACAGGATAAGTAACTTCATTGGCATTAGCAATACAAGTTCGTCGAGATTGTGTAGTATTTAGAAAATCATCAGGATCAAACGTCATATGATCAGTTAGAGCAGAATCAATTATCCAGCTCCTAGAATCAATCTTATCGGAAGTATGGAATCCATAACTAATACCATTACTGGTTGTATCGCATTGTGTGTGATCTTTAAGAGTAGCCCACCAGTTGGGGAAGCCATACAATTTAAAACAAGTCTCATGAGTGTGTCTCGGATCACCACAATATGCGCAATCTCGTCCATGTGTCTGGGTCGTTAGTCTGGAAGTCACAATATGTGCAGCGGAAGATGCATAGGGTACAGGGTTTGAAGGAATTCGGATCGGGGTTTGAGCTTGAGTCGAGGCCAGAGTCGAAGTTGAAGTCGGGATCTGGGTCTGAATCATAGACAAATTCGGGGTTGGGGTCATCATCGGAGTCGGGGTGAGGGTCATCATTGGAGTCGAGGTCGGGTTCGTCTTTGGAGTCGGGGTCGAGGTCGTCGTAGTCGTCGTCGTAGTGAGGGCCCGGGTCATCAAAATAAGATCTTGATTCAAGATCGGGTTCGGGGTCATCAAAATAGGATCCTAATTCAGGATCGGATTCGGGGTCAAAGTCTGCATTTGTAGGAGCTGAGCCACCTGGGCACTTAACTCGAGTATGGTTGGTTGAGAAGGAGAGGAGGAGTCGATGGTGCTACTTCTATGAGGGTTGAAAAAATCATCAACCCTCATAGTGGCGGCGGGGGTTGAAAACTAGAGTTAGCAATTCCAAGATCGTCAATCTGATACCATGCTAAAATATGAGAACTATGAAAGAATACCATTCTCATTCTAGGAGGTCATGTTTATAATACAACGAAACCTAAATAGGCAAGTAAATAATAAATCCATATTTCTATTTACAGTAAGAAATCAGGAATTAAAGTAAATCAAATATAATTATAATAGGAATCTTTGGTGTGTAAGGACAGAAAGTCAATTGTCCACAAGTCACGCCAACACCCTGCTGTTCCTCTTAAAGTACTAACAAAAACAAAATCACAGACCTCCTGGTAAAAGTTTGCAAGGCCAGCATTTGATATTTTGGGGACGAAATTGTGGTCGAGCAGGACATTTTGAGGCTTCATCTCTAAATGAAGAATGCACACATCACTTCCCTTGTGTAGATACTCGATTCCTCGAGCAATTCCCAGAGCAAACTCGTGCAGCTTTTCCCAAAATGACTGAAATCTTCCTTCTTTTGAGGACAAATGTTTAGCAAGAGACCCATTAGGCATGTACTCATACACTAGAGCCTGCTTAGAGCCTTCAGAACAGAATCCCACCAACTGAAGAACATTGGCGTGACGAATTCTACCAATTTTTTGAACTTCATTGACAAATTCTGTGCCTCTGAACCTAGAGTTCTCCAGCATTTTGACAGCAATTAGGCAACCATCTGGAAGCTGCCCTTTATATACTGACCCAACCCAAGCCCACCCTGCCGGCCTAGTTTATCTTCAAAGTTGTTTGTCATTGCAACTACATCAGTGTAAGAGTACCTTTTGGGCATCAAGGATTGCTCATTGTGCAGCACAACTATCTCCTATTATCTACTATCTTTCGTGTTGTACAATATTTCTGGATGAGGAACACAAATATAGCCAAAGGAGCACAGATATGTCTAATAATAAGAATTAGGGCTGCACAAGCAATAGAAAATCATTATTTTTAAGTTTATTTAAAGTTCAAGGGAACCAGTCAATGAAATAAAAGTTGTACCTAATGGAATGTTCCAGAATAAGTCGAAGCTCACATACGAACCATACATAATACTCCCTGAACATTTAAGCGTCATATGCAAATATGAGGAAACTAAAGAGAAAAAACAGAATCAGTCCGGTCAAAAGTTAAGCACACTAACCTGGATTATTTACTCTACATGAAGCATCTTATGTAGGGCAATACGGGAGCTCAGCCAACCATCCAAGGTTGAACCCTGCCTGCAACACTTTCATGACATCTTCATAAGAAGGGAACTTGACATCTACAGAATCTGCAGGAGCAATTGAAATGAGATTTTTCTTGCTCAAGATGAGCCAATAATTGGCCTTCTCCGTAAATAGCTTAAACATGAGTGCCATTTCTTCTGAAACAAGGAAATTCTCTAAAAGCTAGGTTGCTTATGTTTGTGGAGCAGTTTGCAAAACTGATATATGAGAGATGCCCTAGTGGCCTATAAGGAAAATCTTCGGTTAACTCATCCACTGAATCTATAGATCCAGATGGAAGGCTGCAGCTTCCATTGGCAAAGTTTGTATCAATGAGATGGATTGAAAGTTCATTATAGGAAATGTTCTTGACATAGTACGTTCCTGGATCGTATTCCAAGATGGTTTTGTCGTTCACACAAGAAAGTTCATAGGCCGGATAGCCGCAGCCTACTGGATCACCCTTTAGGCGAAAAGGGAAGCTGTGTTTTGGATATCTCCACATGAAGAAGGACAAACTTGCTCAAGAATTCTGGCTTCAACTTCATTGATGGATTGATAGATCACCACAGAAGAGAGAATAACTGAAGCAATAAATAGTTCTTTCCTTGTCATGTTTTGCTTCAGAAGAATACCTAGTACCAAGTTAGATTAGAAGAGTGAGTAAATACAAGAAAGCCTCTTGAATGGTATTAAATTTGCCCTTTTTTTTTTTTTTGATTTGAACCACGAGGTGGTCCTGGATGGGCCCCTTAAATTTGCCCTTTCACTAACGAGTAGCAACAACAAAAAAATTATTTTATTTTATTTTTCAATTTTCGTGTTTAACTATTTAGGGGTTAACCTTAGAATACGTTATAAAGATCTTTTCTAGTTAAGAAGAATGCTTGATTGCACCTTCAGGGAGCTTTCAGCATATTCTATTGAGCAACTTTTGAAGAAAACCAAAGGACAAGGTGATGAAGCCTCAAGGAATGCTGATCAAAGAACGAAATAACCAATGAAATCTCAAAACAGGACGTTTACAGTATAGTTTTCAGTGACACTAGGAAACAGACTTTTTGATGATTCACATTATTATTGGATTATACATAAATAAATAAAAAGAACAAATACAAATAAATCAATTTTTTTATCTACACAATTCTTTTTGGTGTCACATCATGGAGCATTACACATATAAGCTGTAGAGGGTGAAGAATAGAAGCCAAGTTCAAGAATTGCTGATTGTTGGCGTCAATTCTTCTCCGTGCTACTAGATGCATTTCGTCTTGTGCGATACTTGCGAACAAAGAACACCAATATACCAATTATAACCAGTAGAGCAATTAGACCTGAAAATGCAGAGAAAGATTTCTATCAGTCCCAACTTCCACTGAAATCGAAAATCGCACGAAAGTAAAACAAGATAGTCAATGTGTATACACAAATATAATACCTCCCACAACGATTCCCGCGATTATTAAGTTTCCTTGACTTCTTGTCAGTTCTTTGTTCTCTGAACTTGCATTAAAACAGTATCAAACATTAAAACAAATGTTATTAAAAAATGATAATCAGAGGACATAAGTTTTGATCATAAAGTTGGGCATGCATACTGACCTCTTTCACATATATAGGTGAGTGGCTTGTCCCATGATTTTACTACGCAGGATTTACCAGCCAAAGAGCAATCCCTGCACTCAAGCGACCATCCAACAAAAAATCCTGCCTCCAAAAGTTCCATGACGGCTTCATAAGAAGGGAACTTATAATTAATGTCGTGAAGAAGATCTACAGGAGCCAATGAAACAACCGAGCATGATGGCTGAGGATTATAGTACGAGTATTCGCCGTCATAAACTGCATAGACGTAACTCCCATTTCTTGTCAAACATGGAATTGTCGTATGATTAGCAGCTTCCTGCAGGCTGCTGATGTTTCTGGAGCACTTGACAAACCGAAAACGACTGCCAAGGCTGTCCAAAACTCCCTTGAATCGAAAGTCTTGGACAAACCCATCCGTATTTTCAACAGAGCCAGATGGAAGGCTGCAGCTTCTATTGGCATTGGCAAAGTTGACATCAACCAAACGGAGTACTTGATCCTCATATGAAATGTTCTTCACATAGTATTTCCCTGGAAATATTTCTAAGATGGTTTTGTTGTTCACGCAAGAGAGTTCATAATCGGGGTCACCGCAGCCTGATGGATCACCCCTTAGGCGAAAAGGGTAGCTGATGTTGTTTATTTCTCCGCAAGAAGAAGAGGAACAGACTTGTTTGTAATTTCTTGCTTCAACTTTGATGAAAGTTAGAAAAATCAGAATAGAGTAGAGAATAGTTGATGCAGTTTTTGATTCTTCCGTCCTCATGGTATTTGCAACAAATTTGCAGAATAACTGTGAACTGGAACTTGAGATATTATCTTCAAGAATGTGTTAATCCTGTTCTATTTTTTATCCAAAGTTTGGAGCACGATGCTTTTATAAGGAAATCTGATAATCTGTATTGGTGGTTCCCCGTTGGTCAAAGGATACGAGTAGGTCAAAATTTTCTGCTCCGTGTTGGAGTTTTGTGACTCCGTCTTTCTTCACAAGTTGATTATGGATCAACTTTGAAGTTTTTATTCAAATCGACTGGTTTTGTTAAAGATATGATTCAAGAAAGTCAAAGTCGATGTCTGATGAAATTTTTTTTTTTTTTTTTTTTAAATTTAAATTTTTAGAAAGGAAAATGTCCACATCTATCTTCAATAGCACTTTATGATACGCAACTACCCTTTTGAGTATTGCAGAATTCAAAGGTCAAAGTCAAAGTCAATTCTCCCGTTTTCTTTTGTTTTGTCAACCAACAAGAAGCAGTAATGAGTTTGAAAAATCAAACGGTAGGAGTTTTTATGTACAAGAAATATTTTTGCTCGTCACTTTAATTCAAGGTATATGTATTTATGAAACTATGTTTATGTTTATGGATATATATAAAGTGGTAAGAGTACACCTTAGGTTAAAGTGATAAGCGAAAATGCCCTCACTAGTCTAGGAAAGGAAAAGGGAATGAAAATAATAGAGCACTCAACAACGCATAATTTTGGGATGCATGATCGTATTTGAATACTGACTTTATAATTAAGCTTCACATTATAATTGAATTACAATTTACACATCAAGAAAGAAATATATATATATATATATACATATATACATATATATATTTGTTTCTATTTAGAAGTTTAGGGGAAGGGGAGGCTATCCCATCCCAGGGCCAGAGTATATCAATACCTTTTTGAGAATTTACAGAGGAGGTCTTAACCTTTTTTTTTGGAAGATCCCTCAAATAAGCTTATTTGAGGGACACCCTTGTGGGCTCACTTTATTTCAAAATTTTGAACCTTCCATCTTTTAGATATTCCTTCAAATATCATCTCAGCAAAAAAATCACTTGAATCCAAAATCATTTGACCATTGAATTAATAGTTGTAATTTTAGTGCTTTTTTGAAGTACTGTGTTCGTTAATTTTATTAGGCACAATTAGATATCTTAACAATTTCTGATTTGTCTAATTTTTTGCAAAGAAGATCTATGAATGAAGACTTAAAAAATAGATGATTTGAATCGTTAAAAAAAAAAAATCGTAATAACCCAAAATGGTGTCCCTCAATAGAAGTGAACTGTTACTTGAAGGGTAGGTAAACTATATTTATATGCCGGTAATTCAACAAATGAAAGCAAAACAAAGGAAAATAAACTTTGATTAATTCATTTGTGCCTTGGCAGCCAAATGTCGGGTTATAGCGTTCTGGAAATATACATAAGGCTAAGGGGCCATAGCCCATGTAAAGAGCTGTAGACTGCTAATAGGCCCAGTAAGCCTCCATATCTAGAACACGCTCAACAAAAGAAAAGAACATTTCAATTACATTTTTTTTTGTCACACACACACACACACACCATGTTATTGTTAGTTCAAGAATTTCTGATTGTTGGCGTCAAGGTTTGCTGATTCTACAGATTCTTGTTTGCTGCATTTCGCCTTCTACGACACTTGCGGATAACCACCACCAATATGACAATTATAACGATTAGAGCTGAAAAAATGCAGACACACACATTTTTCTATCAGTTGCAACTTCCCATGGAGTCAAAAATTTTAGGAAAATGAACAAGTTTAATACCTCCCAGAGCCATTCCCGCATATATTAATATAAACTGAGATGCTGTGAGTTCTTTGTACTCTGCATTTTCATTAAAAAAGAAAAGAAAGAAACATATATTAATATAATCAAGTGATCATAAAGTCAAGCGTATAATTGTGTATATATATATATATATACATATATATAGTTGCAGACCTTGTTCACATACATATGTGAGTGGCTCATCCCATGAACTATGGGAGGCTGAAGCTTCCATGGGCAAAGTTGACATCAACCAAACGGATAATTTGATCGTCATATGAAATGTTGCGCACGTAGAATTGGTCACACTGTCACACACATGATACACCATGTTAATTAGTTCCAGAATTGCTGATTGTTGGTGTCAAGCATTGCTGATCTGCAGCTTCTTCTTGGCTGCTTTTCTTCGTCGTCTCCGATACTTGAGGATAACGACCACCAATATGAGAATTATAAAGAATAGACCAACTAGAGCTGAAAATGCAGACAAACACATTTTGCTATCAGTTGCAGCGTCCAATGGATCCAACAGGAATTTTATAAACGAATATTGCAAGAAAAACGAGATTAACGTTAATTTTTGTATTTACAGACATAATACCTCCTATACCAATTCCCACCAATATTAAGATAATTTGAAGTGATGTGGGTTCTTTGTACTCTGCACTTGCATAAAAAAAAACAAAATGAAACAAAAAGAAAAAAGAAAAAAAAAGGAACATGCATATAATTCAGACACATAAATTTAAATGTAATTGATCATATGACTATAAGGTGAGGCAATAGCATACTCATGATACTGACCTCTTGAACATGCATAGGTGAGTGGCTAATCCCATGAACTTACCAAACAGCCCTTGCCAGCCAAAGAACAATCCCTGCACTCAACCGACCATCCAACATCAAAGCCAGCCTGCAAAAGTTCCATGACAGCTTCATAAGAAGGGAACTTAATGTCCTGATCAAAATCCACAGGCGCCACTGAAATAAGCGAGCACGATGGTTGTGGTTGACGATGATAATAATAGTCGCGGTCATAAATAGCATACAAGTAACTCCCGTTTGTTGTCAAACGTGGAACTCTTGTATAATTAGCAGCTGTTTGCAGGCTACTGATGTTTTTGGAGCACTTCATAAATCGAAAAAGACTGCGAGAGCTGTTTACAAATCCACCGAATCGAAAATCCTTGACGTCCCTGTCTGCTGATAAAACAGAGCCAGATGGAAGGCTGCAGCTTCCATTGGCAAAGTTGACATCAACCAAACGGAGTATTTGATCGTTATATGAAATGTTGTGCACGTAGAATCTGCCTGGAAAGATTTCTAAGATGGTTCTGTCGTCCACGCAGGAAAATTCATGGTCAGAGTCACCACAGCCTGATGGATCACCCTTTAGGCGAAAAGGGTACTTGATGCTTTGGATTTCTCCGCACGAACTAGAGCAATTGCCTTGTTTATGATATCTTGCTTGAACTTGAACTCAAACGAAACATAGAAAAATCAGCAGCACGGAATAGAGAACAGAAGATGCAGTATTTGTTGCCCTCCTCATGATTTGCATGTCTTATTAGCAGAACAACTAATTATAATGAAAGGTGCTGATTTTATCCAAACTTTTAGTCAACGAGTGGGAGGAGTAGGTCAAAGACTCAAAGCTTCCATCCAGCTCCATGTTGGGGGTTTTCAGTGTTTTCTATAGATAATAATGTAATGATTGCAGGAACAAGGAAATTCCAACAGAAACGCGTTGCGCGGAAGATATGGATCCCAGAAAGTCTAAGTCAAGATCAAATAAATAAAGAAACCAACATTTAAATTTGGTTTAGGATATGTATTGACTATATATGTCGAAGATTATAGTGCAGCCGTACATGCATACAAGGTTGTCGACTATATATAAATTGTGTTGGGATTCATTTAGGGCAGATGAATATATAATCCTAAGATATCCCTAAGATCAAATGATTTACTTGCAGTTCCGATGCGTGTTTCAGCATCCCAGTAACATTCTCAAAATTCCAACAAAAAAAAAAGGTAACATTCTCAAACTACTATGAAAGGCTAAAATTGAATTCCTTTGTGCTCTGTAAGAGAGGGAAAATCGCATATTCCAGGTGGGCATTGGCAATTCCACAAGACTGTTTTCTGCATTCCAATTACACGTTTTTCATTTAGAGAGGTATTCTGACGCAAGTGGCAAGTGTCAAGGGATAAATACAAAACTTATAATGCCAGCTGAGGATGATGTGTTAAGGCAAATGCATCTTTGAGTTTGAACCATGTGTTGAAACTGGCATGAGTGGTCCACTGTGAAAGGTCAGAATAAATTCCAATTTAAATCTTCAAGGGCACAAAATTCTCAAGTTTAATTGACGTAAGTTGTTTACAAACGTCACGTCCTAATTTACATCTTCAAATATTTTAGTTTGATTAATATGTGCAGTTTGTGAGTGATATATAACACACACTCATGTAGACATGGGTTTAACCAAGTTGATCCGGAGACATGGGTTTAGCCAAGTTGACCAAAGTGAATATGCTTCCCACTGCAACCAAGTTTGATTCCCTTTCCTCGTAGTTTATATTAGATTAAAGTAAACACAGAGAAATGCTTTCCCATGATTTTCTTATGGGCAAAGTTTTGGGCTTCGCATTATATATGGGCGTGTTTGGGGATGTTTTGGGCTTTACATTATTTGATCATCAAACACGGAGATTCTTCACTTTGTGTATGTCCCGCGTTTCTTTTCACTAATGTTCTTTTTTTTTTTTTTTTTTTTTTTTTTTTTTTTTTTTTTTAAAGGGGGACAACTGGTGGCAAGCCACGGCCATCCACCCCTTCCGGGACCCGGAGAGGCTATAGGGAATTTCACCCCGTCCCTGGCCCTCATCGCTTGATTCACCAACGGCAGGAATCGAACCCAGGATCTCCCGTTTTCACTAATGTTCTTTGTTAATGCTTGTTTTTTTTTTTTCTTTTTAAACCCTTTCCTTCGTCTTCCCCCTGCTCCGCTTAGTTCTTTTTACTGTATGAGACCAACAGAAAAGGAAGTATATTTCATTTTATATAGATTAAACATGAGAAAGTAATTAAATCCTTTTAAACACACATTTGGTTCCATAACATAAATACTCGAAATAATCTGGTACACAACTAAAAATTGGAGATCCCTCTTTCCTTATTTAAGATTAGAAACACCAAGAATTTACAGCGGTAAATAAAAAAAAACCCCGAGAGTTTTTTTCAAAAAAAGAAAAAAGAAGAAGAAGAAGAGGAAGATAGTTATGGAAGGAAAATAAAAAAGAGAGGAGAAATTTGAAGGACCAAACAAGAAAAAAGAAAGTCTACGGTCAAAAACTGCCAACAACTCTCTAGAATATCAAAAATGAAAAGGCGAAGAAGAACGAGAAAGGAACCACCAGCAATCGATGGATTCGCCGTTATCATCATCATCATCATGGGTGGGTGGATATAGCAGATTGCGGATGGGACCCATTTGATCATATTGTAACATGCATCATCGTCTTCGTCCAATCGATTCAGCGGAGAGAAAACCAGTGGAGGAGGTCGGCGGCGAGGCGGCGGCGCGTGTGGGCGACGAGGTCACGGTGGACGAGGGGAGAGCGGCAAATAGGGCAATTGAAGTTGAGGTGGTCGAGCCATCCGTCGAAGCAGCTCTTGTGGAACACGTGGCGGCAGTTGAGCATACGGACCTGGTCCCCATCCCTTAAGGTGGACAAGCACACCACGCAATCGCAATCCCGTGACCTCGCGACGGCGTTGTTCTGTTGGTCATGGCGGTTGCGGTCGTATCGGTAGGACAAGTGGCGGTTGAGGGCGAGCTGGTCGGCAAGGACGGCGAGGCCCGCGAGGCCCGAGCCCACGGAGGAGCCCGCGAGAAGGCCATCGTCGTAGTCTGGCCCTGGCCCTGGGTTGCTGAGGCCCAGGAAATGGAGGAGATGGAAGAGGGAGGAGCGCAGGTGGTTGATGAAGCTCGCGATGAGTGCGATGAGTAAGAGTGGGATGGAGTCCGACGACACGTCGTTCAGCTGGTTCTGTAACCCCATGATCTCTTCTCTCTCTACGATAAAAAACAGCACTTTTTATACATACATATAATTTATAAGTTTAATTATATGATCTCAACTCAACTCTAAAGATCAAAAAAATTCTGTATTTTGTTTTGTTGGGTCTGTTTAAAAAAAATGGTGGATGAAATAGAGATGTTAGGTAGAACTGAGAGGAGAAGTGGGTTCTGAATTAGCTAGAGATATATATATATATATATATACATAGAAAGAGAGAGAGAGAGAATGAGACAGAGGGAAGTCTCCCTATTCGATATTAGGGAGGAAGAGAGGGGGAAAAAGAATACCAGATGACGAGAGTGTGTGATTTGGTAAATAAATAAAGGGGGAGGGAAGGCTAGGAGCGCTCGTCGGCGGGCAATATTATCCGTGGGCTAGAGAGAGAGAGAGGACAGGGACGCAGACGCAGACGCAGACGCACAGGGGTTGGGTGTCTGCCAAAGGCTGATGTTACGGCTTCACTTGCCTCTCAACCTCTCAATTCTCAACCTTCTTTTCTTTCTCTATGTTTTTTTTTATTTTGCTTGGGCTTTGGGTTTGGGTGTCGGGTAGTGAGGGGGAACTACTCAGAGCATTTCCAAGCGAGTATGTAAAAAAATTATATAAAATTAGAGAGCTGATTTTTCCATTCTCTTTTTCTTCACTTACACTCTCTTTTACTTTTTAATGTTTTTTAATCAATTTTGTTCTTTCTCTTTCCTATTTTATCCTTACCCTACTTTTTTACTTCACTTTTATATTATTTCTTTTTTTTTTTATACTTAATTTTTCAACTTACACTCTATTTTCAGTATTAAAGGAAAAAAAAAACTTAATTTCTTACTCGATTAAAGGAATTTGTTTTACTGAAAATAGAGTGCAAGTTGGAAAATTAAGGATAAAGAAAAATAACTAATATAAAAGTGAAGTAAAAAGAAATTAATGTCGGATAAGGGTATAATAGGAAAGAGAAAGAATAAAATTGATTAAAAAGTATTTTAAAAAAACAAAATGGAATGTAAGTGAAGAAAAGGGGGGGTGGGGAAATCATATCCCTAAAACTATCACAATCATTTATCTCATAAAAAAGTTGTTCACTCTAATAAACTAAATAATGTAATTATATTTTCTCCTTTTGTGAATGACTCACTAGTATAGTGGTGTGAAGCAGTTGCTCTTTAAGAAGGATACTGAGTTTGAGTTATAGTATCCATGTAGTGTATGAGTTTAGCTTATTATCGTCCTTCTCAATATGAAAAATCCTAAAAAACAATAATGAAATTGTACAACCCATTATTATAATTCTTTGAAAAAGGAAAAAAAAAATAATAATATTACTTTTATCGTGTACATCTATTTTTATCTTCTATAAAAAGTAAGTGAGATATATGAGATGATATTTTATGATAAAAATATAAATATACCTATTCATTTTAAAATAGACAAAATGATCATATTAAAGAGCGTGTATATTTTGCCTATTGGGATGCCTACTTCCTTGGAAATGCTATCAACGGAGAAAACACTTAAAAGCACGCTGGTGTTTCTCATAACGTGGTCAACACACTCAGATCAGATGTATATACGTTACTCATCACGTGGGATATTATGGGAAACACAAGGACAAAGTTATGCTCTGGACTGGAACGGCTGAATTTTTCTTCTTTCGCATGGAAAATGAGACCCGCATATCTTGTATATATGTGATTCTCGCTATCCTGTGAAAAATCACTCGGGAAAATGGAAGAGGGGCCAAAGCCAAATGTGAAATGCGAAATGGCAAAGAGTAGGAAATTTCGGGTGCATAGATGATGCCGTCATCACTAGACTCTACCATGTGAGGATGGGTCCCCCCTCATATTTGTTTTTCTTCTTTAAAATAAGCACTTTTCAGTTTTTTAAGTGCTCTTTTTCTCTCATTTTCTTCTTGGATTTGTTTCATTTTTAAAATAAAAATAACCTTTAACATGAATGGAAAATTAGATAATGTTAAAAGTTAGATGACAAATCATGAATTTTGAAAAATTAAGATGATGTTTATCTTAAATTTTTCTTTAAGGTGACAAATTGAAACTGACGTATAAGTTTAGATGACATTTTTACAAAAATCTCTATATTATATTATATTGCATTAAAGGGCATCTTAGATGCGTTGTATGTGTTTAATTTAGGGTTTCCACTCCCATTTTCTCCACTCACGCTTCATTTTGCTTTTTAATACTTTTTAATCAATTTTGTTTTTTTTTTGTTCTTTCTCTTTTCTATTCTATCATTACCCTACATTAATTTTTTTTTTTACTTCACTTTTATATTATTTATTTTACTGAACATTATCTTTGATATGGATGGGATTGCTGAAAATTCAAAATTTGTAATGTCAAGGTAATGGTATTTATAATAACCGAAAATTGATATTTTGCCTATGATCAGTGAAGAAGATATGATGACTGGTTATTAAGAAAAAAAAAGTGTAAAAAATTAAGTATAAAGAGAAAAAATTTAATGTAGGGTAAGGGTAGAATAGAAAATATATAGAACCAAAAAAAAAATGATTAAAAAGTATTAAAAAGCAAAATGAGTGTAAGTGGAGAAAATGAAAGTGGGAAAATTAGCTCCCTTAATTTATCGTCCTTTCCTTTGCCTTGTAGGCTAGCTTCGTTATGTTGCGTTGCTTGCTATTTAAACAAACGATTATCATCGGCATAAATATAAACTGCATATACATTAGTTAGCTTGATTAACTAATTATGATTTTCATCATTTCATCAAAAAGATCCCATTTTAATTAGCAAATTAAATATAGTAATGAGGGAACTCTTTACTGTCTTAATAAGCAATACTACGTACTGAGCCCCCCATATTCATATGCATTGTCGTCCATACACAACACACACGAGACACACGGCACACATGTGGAGCTAGCTACGTACCAATATATCCAAAACCCCCAACAACAAAAAAACCAAGTATATGGATACGTAATCTTTTGGAGCAAATTTTAGTGGAGGATTCAGTCATGTGCTCAAACAATTCCTCTGGTCTCTAGATATACATGTGCATGCATGCATCAACATCCATCGCCCTATTGTGTACACGACAATGCATATGGGTTATTAAGCAAAGAGAGAAAAGGGCTACAAACCCTTTGCATAATTTCGTCACGGTTTAGATCGATATACAAATGCATTATGCATGCGTCTTCTTTCAACATAAAAACCAATCAAACTCCTAATAATTCTTGCACGCATTTTCTACCAGCTTTCTGCTTATCATTAACATCATCAATTATCCATCTCTGTCGTGTTTGGTAGTCGTTGCTACCACAATTATATATAGTTAGTTGTAAATTAAACACAAATCATTCCAACAAGACCTAGTCGTCAATGTCATCCCAAGCAAGCAAACATTCATGTTCATCCATGTGATTTCTCATTGTCATAAATATATACTTAATATTTGGTTTTATTTTAACTTCTTAGCTTTCCTTTGATTTTTTTGTCCTCAGTATTTTATTTCAAAAGGTTAACCTGACAATTACGTTTGTTATTATAAATATTTGGGCAAAGGGTCCAAAACTAATACATCTAGCTTGTACGATATTGCAAATGGCCGTCCATATTCCAAAGTCTAAAGTCCAATCCAATCCCAATCCTATTGATATTGAATACCAGTTTTTCCTTGAACTTTCCAAAGCTTCGACGGAGTACTTAAGTTAACTACTGGCAGCTAGCCTGTCTTAATCTGAATATGGCCCGTCCCATCTCCACTAGCTAAGCTAGGTTTGCATTATTTAATTGGGTTAAGAAACCCTATTCCCGGATATCTTTTTCTTTTCTTTTTTTAGACAAAAAAAAGTGCTGTTTTTTTTGGGGTCAAAACCATTGGCTTGGTTGGTTTCGTTAATTTAATATGAGTTAATTAAGTCTAAAAGGAGTTGCTTTTGTTGATAAAGCATGCTGCATTATGGGTGGTAATCAATATGATAATAAGATTAAACAGGTATATGTCACATTCCATATGCTATATATATGGGGGTATTACTACTAGTGTGGTGATCACATTATCTAATTCGGCCTACTAATTCTGATAAAAATATGATAAAACAAAGTCAAATATTTTTCTTATATATATAATCATCGTCAACCACAAGAAAACAGTTTTTGGATATGTAGCTCGAAAATGAGAATAGGAGAGAGAAATTAAAGTGGTATCGTGTGGTGGGAAAATGGGAATTGTTGTGAGCAGGATACTTCCAACAAAAATACAGACATGTTTGATTAATAATGATGGACTAATAACAAGCATTGGGCGGTGGGATTGGAGAGAGATTTTCCGTGATCTCCGCTGACTAACTTAATCTATATACCCATCTCCAAATTCAGGGACTAAAATTTATATGATTAGAGTTAATAGGAGACTTAAAGGATAAATAATTAATAATTAAGAGATGCATAAATAAATAAATAAATATATATATATAATTAATTAAGAGATGCATGATGCAATATCCACCGTCCACAAAGATCCGCGTATCCTCCGACTATCGACCTTTGTTTAATTTTTGGTCCTGGATACAAACCACAAACAAAGCAAGCTGATGTGTTGTTGATAAAGCAAATGAGACTTGAAAAAATTTCATCATGATTTTCGGGTTTGTCAGCTTCCCTCTTTTGATATCTAACCCTATATGGAATGTGGTCTCAACTCGATCGCCTTTGCCATTTGCCTTGCCATAGGACCACAAGTTGATCACCAACCTTTCTTTTTTAACAAAATTTTGTCCTTCACCGTTGATGGGAGACTTGAAACAATAGTCCAAATTTTTTTTAAATAAAATAATATCTTCGCAAGTAAGGTAATTAAAGACAATTACTCATCTACCTGAGATCTTATGTTCAAATTCACATATCCAAATATCGCGTGTATTAAAAACAAAGTCTTTATATGAAAACATTATCATGAACGTAAGGTGTTTGGAGTTGCCGAGTCTATTGCCTAATTGATGAAGAAACTGCAAATAATACACGTATTAAGTTGAGTCAAAGGCGTTCTTAGAAGGAAGAATCGAGATGATATGTTGATTGATCCATGATAATGATATTGAGGGAGGGTGGTGGTGACAATGACAACGATGGGTAGGAGTCGGTAGGACCACACACAACACAAGCAATGAAATACAAAATAATCACCGATGTAAAGTTCAAGAGAGGATTTGATATAATATTTGATATATATAGGAATAGTCGAGAAGAGATTTAAATTATTAAAAGAAATCCCTTTCGGATGCATTTCAGGTCTCGCAGAGTCCAGAAGATCCCCAAAGAAATTTAGTCGGTAAGACCATCTCCAACCATGTTGGGGCTAAACTCAAATTTTCACCCTCCAAAATACAACTATTCATGTATTTTCAGGACTCAAATTTTTTTTTCCTCTAACCTTGTAGACTCATAATTTGAGTCCGCAACTTTATTAAATTGTTTAAGAATGATTAACCCCTAAATTTTGTTTCTTGTTAATTTTTCTTGACATTATTTTTGTTTCAACACTCGTGATTTAATTTTCTAAACATTTTAACCTAAAAAAAATAAAATTCCAAAACATAATTGAATTTCACTTAAAAAATAAAAATAAGTACAATACCATACGTATGCACAATCATTAAATTTTGCCGTTGAGATTGCTTAAAATTAATCATGATTATTGATTACAAATATAATTGTTGGAATATTTAAAATAAAACCAAAAACAAAAAACAAAAAAACAAAAACAAACCAGCAATATCGGATTTTTGGCACAAAGTTGCTGCCCAAACAGTGTAACCAAAACTGGGCCCAGCAAATATTGTGCAGCACATGGGCTTCAGTCAGAAAAAAATAATAAAAAAAGCAGATTTTGGGCCCACAAAATTATCAGTCTAGGCAAAAATGGGACTGGAATTCCATCCAAGATTTGAGATTTCTCAAATTTCCACCCCCAAAAATATATGGGTTAGAGATGATTTTTGGAGGTTAAACTCAAAATTTGAGTTTTCACCCCAAGAATTGGAGATGGTCTAAGGAAACTTGGAAAATGATGCCCGTTCATTGTACTTGAGAGGTCACTAAAAGGGGAAAGTTTATTTATTGATTAAAAAGAAGAAGACGAAGACGAGGAAGGAAGGAATGCGTCACTAGTTTTGCTAGGTAAAGAAATCACTCTAATCTGTCACCTCAAAAGTGTAGGCAGACAACCTTGCCTATCGATCAACATTTAGGACTAAAATATGTGTGCCCAGTGCCCACCATCAGAACAATACAACAATAGGGGTTTTATTAATCTTTAGAATTATAACCTATATAAATAACACCTAGGTTTTCTTCAACCTATAAATAACACCGTCACACGTATATGTTTATAAAATTCATTATGAAAAGGGCACTTTTACCTTTACCCATCAAGGTGTGACTCAAGTTTATGTCCTTCCAAGAGTTTGAACACCATTTTTACCTATTGCTGGGCTACGAGGAATCCTATCCAAGCATTTTATGTGGTCAAGGATTATTATGAGTCGTTAATGTATATGAGATTATTTTTAAAATTTTGTGAAGAATCTAGACATTAATCGAATTGTTCATGCACTCACTCAAAACCTTTGGGGTGTGGCTTTAGCCGTAGGCAAAAATATACATACGAATTTTATTCTCCAAAAGTATTTAAGTTAAGGATTAGTTACATATTTTTAATCTCGATTGTTGGATTACATTAGTTAAATGTGTTTGTAAATTTAATAAGCAACGGACATATAATCCAACGGTCAAGATTCCCGATATTAGAAATATATAACTAATTTTTAACATAAAATACTTATTGGAGAATTTTCCCTCTACCAATGTGTTGCGGGGATCTCATTTGAGTGGACCTACTGAGAAGTCTGAGGTGAGTTGACTCGGATACTTTGATCAAGGTGGATGGGTAGGTCATATGGTCGTCCATTTCCTAAAATTTGAATTTGGTGAGATTTGTATGTGGATGGTGGTGGGCATATAATGAAGAGGCAAAGACAAGCAAGCAAACTACATGGATTTCACTGGCAAAATGATTTAACGAAAAAGGACAAACCTCGCTCTTTATAATTCTATCCACTTAAAAGCACACTGTATGTAACTACCAAAATTTTTAAAAAGGAACAGCATAACATCAAAGGTAACTTGCAGAAGCACTGAAGCATTGTAAAGACATCATGTTGGGTATAATTGTGAATCTCTCTTCGTATTACTAACAAGCAGCCTAACTGTAGTGTAGTCTATATTAATGAAATAAATAAGGATGAGATTTTTGTAAATTTACAACTTCACAAGCAAAAGTTACATGATGAAATGCTCGAGAAGATATTGGCAGAAAAGATTAAAAAAAAACCATTACAAAGAACATCTCAAGAAGTGGGTTTTCCATCTCTCTTGAGCAATTCCTGGAAAAAAATAAAAAAAATAAAAAACCAGATGCAGTAAGTGAGCCAAGCATAAAAACACATTTATTTTTTCTCTTTTTCATATCAAATTTTCACTACCAGTTTGGTGGCAGCAATAGATTGACGCCGCCTTTCTTTCTTCTCACGCTGGCACTCTCCACACCAGTTAGAAGAATCTTTCTGATACTTCTTCAGCTCTCTAAAGACCGAACTACAAAAAGATTGGGGATACACACTGAGAAAATTGATAAACAGAAATGCATAATTAAAGATAATCCTTGCAGTCAAACCCCATGATTGACATTTACTGTAAGAAATACTTAGAAAGCTTCTACAAAACTGATTGTCATTTACTCAAACAACCGGCAAGCAGAAAATTCCTAGAGTCCTAATGACAACCAATATCCTTGACCCCAAAAAGAAAAAACTCAATATGACCTGATACCAAACCATGAACAAATTGGTACGTTGTATTAATTGGATACTTATTCCACATAGAGCAGATACATGAAGTACTAAAAGTCAGGGAGATTGTGATATCCTTAAAATGCTTCAGTTAGGTTTCTTGAATTTCTTTTAAGGGGCCTCAAAGAGGAGAAAGGTACCTTCTGCACCATAGTAGTAAGTTGACTCGACACCCTGATGTTGTGGCTCTAGCACCATGCCGATGGCGACCACGATGAAGAACCGCATGCCCCGGAACATGAGAATAATCAAAGATTTCCTATGAGTACAATTACAAAAATTCCAAGAAAAAAGTTCAATAATTACACAGTAAACTGTAAAAAAGTATTAAATATAAAAATAAACATGCAACTTGCTAGTTACCATTTATCATGAAATAAAATGATATCAAATACGAGACTCTAAAGAATTTGTATTACTGCAGGTTGAAAAGTGTGACGCCGCATAAAAAACTGTACTAAAAAATATCTTAAAGACTAGCGTACCTCCGATTGTGTCTCTGAATTTACATGTTTATCACATCGAATACCTCGAAAGAACAATTCTCCGCCAGAAAATTGCTTGCCCAAGCAAACATTCAAGGTGACTTCTGAGTCATCCACATGAAAACCTACAATATAAAGCTACCGTGGTCATAAAAACTTAAAAATCCATAAATTTAGCGCCCATGGCTTCAAGATGAAGACAGACAGAGGAAGTAACAGACACATTACTGAACAAATTGAACGCAATTATGAAAACATAAATAAGGAGAAATCATATCAGCTAAACCAAGATTCAAAACTGGTGTGAGAAAAAAAAAATCATAATAAGTAGAACTAACTGCCTTTAGATATTAAAGCCTCAGTGTTATGCTGCAGTCTAGAGCATAACTCCCTGGAGTAAGAAAACAGAAAGAGTGGAAACAGTATAGAGCAAGAGAGAGAGAGAGAGAGAGGGGCTTCAAATACAAATTTCATTTTAGAAAACTAAATCCAAAACTTTCAGATGGATACGTACCAAGCTCTGCATCCTTATCAGTTCCATATTCAACAACAAAACCATGATGAGAATCCAGCGTGGATCCACCAACTTCGGGGAAGAAAACTACATAAATACCAACCAAAAAATGAGGTATAACGTTAGTCCTAATGTTTCATATGTAGTGCCTTTTCTTTTTCTAATTATGATTTTACAATATTAGAGATGAAATACCTCTAGACATAGGGCGTATAAAGTCCTCCATCACCTTGTCAAGCATGGTTTCCAGGCCAAAGTCATCAAGAACACAACCGTATCTATTCATTGTGTTTGGTCGCATGATTCTGAAATTTGTCTCAATGACCCACCTTTCAAAAGTTTCCACCTAAGCAATCAGAATATGATAAGAAAACAGAAAAGATAGTATACAGGAAAAATTCATTTATATCAAAAATGATACCTCGGATAATAACAATTCACAGAAGTACGGCTGAAGCATTTCAAATGTATAAATTCCAGGAGCGGGTTCAGCCATAATACTTCTAAAGCTATCCTCTGTATTCTCATTGATTGCTTTGAGAAATGAGGGGACAAAGAACTGTGCAGCCTGCATAGTGTATAACTCCTTGTGTACAGGCTACAAGAGGAAGGAACAATTAAGAAGGAAATTTATGCATGTATGTATGGAAGTCAATGCATGCAATTGTATGTCTTATGCAGAAAACTCAAGCTCACATTTCCAGAAGTACAAAGAGAAGAGACTTAACTTTAATCACTTCAACACTCAAACATAAAGGTGTTGTCTACATATTATAGCATGTTTCAAAAAGTCAACAGCATATTAGCCATTAAACGCACCTGATAGTGTGAGATGATCTTCTGCCTGTATTCTCTATGTCGTTGAACCTGTTTATTCGAACAGAGAAAAAGTATGAGCCTCTCAGGAACATAATGACGTTACTTTGATCAATTAGCCAGAGCACATTGGCCCTGGTGTTCAGAACTATATATTATTTATAGAGCTTATCTCCTTCAGCTACACACAGAAATAAAATCCCCATCAGAAACCAAAATTTAAGACAAGAATGGAGCTTCATATACTCACAAATCCCCAAAATCCCATGTCTATCAAAATCTTCATTTCGTATTCTTATCTTTTCTCCCAATTTCTCATCGTTTCTGAAGAATTAAAAAAGATGGCACATTCTGTCGTGATTGCAAGTGCAGCCCGCTCATTTCACACACTCAACATATCCACACAATTAAAAATGAAAGAATACGGAATCCGAAGCTTCCACAATTCACGTTCAATTTCAGTTTCCAGCATTTACCAAACACAGAGAGAGAGAGAGAGAGAGAGAGAGAGAGAGAGAGAGAGAGAGAAGAGAATTGCCATTTTCTTACACGAGTGCGCTCACTCTCGGACGAGTAGCGTAGGAGAATGTCTCTCATGTACTGGAGCTTGAGGTCACGTGACCCATTGAGCATGGTGGGAGGCAAGTAGCGCTCCAGCGAGCTGAAGAGCAAGGGACTAAACTCCAATTGATGAAGGTCGTCGTAGCTGTCCGGCTTGTGCTCCTTGTTAGGGTTCAGTCTCAGCCTGTTCGCCAAGCTCATGGAAGAAATGCCGCAGTTCCCGTTGCCTGTGCTCGGCGTCTGAGTCTGAGTTGGTTGCTTTCTTCGCTCCGCTGAGCCGTCTACAGACATGGTCTTGGACGCTTAGAGAGAGATTTTGGATTTCCAGAGAGGTAGGGCGAGTGAATTGGTGAAATTTGCTAGGGTTTTGAAGAATTGAAAATGAAGAAGAAGAAGAAGATTGAGCAGCAGGTTAGGGTTTGGGGTTCCTGTGGTTCGTTGGTTAACACTTAACAGTGGACGTGTGAGCTGGATCTGGATGTAGGGTCCACCCAGCTCCGAGGGCTATGACGTGCACGGTTTTTACTAGAGTGTGGGGACGCTCTGACGTGGTGTTAGAAACTTATCCACATATTTTCAAGTAGTCCGATTAATTCATTCTACAATTGTCTAAAGATAAATAATTTTGCACAAATGTGAGTCACGTTGGTTGACCAAAGTATTGAGCCGTCCCTTCATTTGAAATTTGCACCTCACTCGTGCACATTAGAATGATTTAAAATATTGCTCTTGAAAAAAAAAAGATATAAAGTTTACAAAGAGTATGTAGCTTTAACTATATTAAGATAAGACTAGTTACCACTGCATTTGATGCCACGTATTCGATTTTTCTCCTCCTCAATATCATTTTATATATATTAAGAAGTACAATATTCTTTTATCCATTTGAAAGATATATGATTATAATGTTTTGATTATTTTTTTAGATTAATGCAATTCAAAACGGGTGCCCCGACAAAAAAATATTGCTGGAATGGAACATGCATCAAATTCATTTTGTGTAAGGGTTATTAGGAAACTTTACAAATAAAGCCAACTTGTTAAAAAAAATCCTTGGCTAAAACCTTAAAACGAACAGTTAATTAATGGACAGTAAATTTTGTTTTGGCAAACAACACACTTTCATTAGGTGAGTATATTTAACGGAATAATACACAGACTTTGACGGAAAGACGATTTTGATACATTATAAAAAGTTTAAGGACGTTTGAATTGAAAATTTTAGTTGGTGGACCAAAATGATAATTTCGCGATAGTTGAGGGACCATTTAGGTCATTAACCCTTTTCATTATATAAGAAAACAGTGAAGACTGGAACATGAGGCTGACTTTTCTTTTTCTTCCCATTTCTTTCTCCTAAAAGGTAAAAAGGGAAACAAAAACGACGACAAAATGGTATACCTCCTATGTTGGTGATTACATGATTGCACAAGCCCGCCCTATGTACACCGCCTTGTTCTCCCTGAATCTTACCTTCTGTGTTGACTCATGACTGAACTACTGAGCAAAAGAAAAAGACTCATGACTGAACTACCACCACACTACCCTTCCTAGCTAGAAAAACAACACTCATGGAGCTTCAGTTTTGATACTTCCCACAGACCCATGAGTCTGAGAGCTCCTCTCTGGACTTCCATGACCCACATCTCCATTCACCTGATGTGGTGCTGGCGCTGGGCTCAGTTGCTGGCTCACCTGAGACTGTTGGTCAAATTGCTGACGAAGGCTAACCTGACTCTGAGGTGAACTTAAATGCTGGAGTAATGGCTGCACCATATCTTTTTGTGGTTGCTGGATTGGCTGATGCACCTGTGGTTGTAGCTGCTGCTCCTTGCTTAATTTACTAGCCAGGTTTGGAATATTTGATACGTCCATTGGAACCCCATGACCTGCCTTTTTTTGAACTGGAGCCCCACTCATCAAGGCTTTCATCCCTTGGCCTTCTGCTGCCCTCAACTTACTTGAAAGCCCCGTTGAACGATCAGACATCAGACCGGGAAGCGGCTTGCTGTCATTTAAACCAGATGTTCCACAACCAAGATTGTTAAACTGGCCTACATTTCCAGCCCGGGGCATCCATCCTCCCAATGCCCTAGGGGAAGTGGAGGACCTCATGCCTGTGACATTACCAAATGAACCAAGACCAGCATTTCCAAACCCCTGGGCTCTGCCAGCCTGCTCAGTCATACCACCACCTACACTTGCACCTGATCCTCCAAGTTCCAATCTGCTCTGTCTGATTTCATTTTGTTGTAGTTTTCTTTGTCGCATCTGATACACTAGATAGGCACGCCTATTCAAAAGCTCCTGGACTTGCGGCATCATGCAATTGGTTTGTGCGGCAATGGTGTGTGGTAGTTTGGATACACAACTATTTGCGAGAGCTGCCCATATGTTTTCAGAATGGAGTGATTGGCCCCCAGAGAAAATATTCTGTGATGGGAGTTGCATGGATACGGCACTGAGTCTTGAAGGTGATATCCCTGGGGTTAGAGTTGAAGAAGGTAGCTCGATTGTTCCAGTGGATGGAGTGCCAATTCTAATACTAGCACTACGCTGATTGCTCAAGGCATCATCAGCCTTGAGAGGTGTAGGCTCTACGTGATCACTAGATAGGTAGTATCCCTCACGCTTCATCTGTACAAAAGAAAGAAAGAAAGAAAGAAAAAACAGAAGAGTAAATAGCTAAGTATCACTTAATGCTGTGAGAACCAAACCTAATTCATAAAATTCCCCAACAGTTACAAACCTACCAATGTAGTGAACTCAGTAGCCAAAAGGTCTGCAGAATTCTGAAAAGCACATATACACAAAGGTCAGAACAATATTTTTAACTCAGATACACGATAATGTAAATTGAGTTCCTTTTGCTTTTCTTACTATTATAGTTCTCTGATGGAGGCTGGATATATTTATTGTTTGTTTCACAATATACAAAAGTTTGTATAAACTATTAGGCCCCTGTGATTCCCCTTTTCCTAGTTATTAACTTTTGAAATTACAAGAGTAATAGCAGAATAAACTAACAGTTGAAAGCCAGTTTGCCACATGAAAAATTTGGAATGAGGAAAGTGTGGCATTAATGTGAGCAATCCAAGGGATGAAAGCCAGTGGTAAGAATGTCGAAAAGTAGAGAACAAATAAAGACAAGGGACACCACAATTCAGAAGTTGTCCATAAAAGATATGAGAAACAGCTCAGTAGTTACTTGCAACAAAGGAATGATCAGTAAATCACTGGCTTTACAATATAAAATAGACCACAGTGTAATTTAATTTATAAGCACAAAATAGATGTGAAGGGCTTAATGAAAAAGATTTATTGCAATCCAGAATCCAAAAGGAATATCACAATCATATATCAGAAGAAGAAACTCTCAATAATCACAAATGGCAACTCACAGTGCTAGTAAAGGCTGATAGGAGAGGATAATCGATTGAAAACACCTCTTTTTCGATTCCATAAAGCACACTTGCTTCGACACTTCCCTCATTAAGCTTCTCTGATATGATCAGTCTGACCTGAGCCTTTCTATCAACGATGGGAATCCCATTTTCTAGGATGGCATAGAATTACTCAGAAAGAGCAGAAAGGTAGCAATGAGGAGTGAAAAATTACATATGATGTGTGTGCATATATGCGCACATATATGTGTATATAAATACACACACAGTCTCACACATAGGATACAAAAATTAGCAGTTCCTCACCTTGAGGGATGTGAGACTGACGTAGAAAAGTCAATACCCTCCTATTCATACTGAGTCCCCAGTCCATGGAGCATTCTGTGAGAGAATTTTTATCTGTGGAAATATTATCCCAGTTCTGATTATCTTTTGAAGATAAGAGTTGGAAAGCAACCAATTTAGTAATGGGAAAAGAGGGTCTCCTTTGCACAGATGTGTCCAATTTACACTTCCTGTTATGTAGTCCATACCTGAATGCATTAAAAATATTACACATCATAACAAGCAAGACCGTAGAAATAGAAGCATTGCAGTATAATTGGCATGACTTTAACTATGATATTACCTCTCAGTTACCGCTTGAATCTTCAAAAACCTCTCAAGGACAGGTTCAACTTTAAGTTCTGATGGTTGTGAGATATTGCTCGTGCCAGCACTAGAATCAACAGCCTTTTTTCTGGAGCGTTTAGGACCAGGGTTTGTTTTTTGCTTTGCAGGAACAGATACCTCTGTGGGCAGAGAATTTATGTTTGGTGAACTTGCAGATCCACATCTTCCATGAGTCGTAACCTGACATTTCACCAAATCCTTCCTCATGTGAGTGACACTTCTGTTTTGTATATTTTTGTCAACAGGTTGACCCATGTACTTCCATGATGTATCAGCAGGTATATTGTCTCCAAATAGAGTTGATGACTGTTGATTCTGTGATTGTGCGAGATTAGAATGAACAAGCATCCTGTCCATCACAAAGTGTCCATCTTTAATATTTCTAAAATATGAACTCAGGAAATTATTTTTGTCAGGCTCTAACTTAACATTAGAAGTAGCCATTCCAGCCTGCAGCTCTGAGATTCCTTGAAACCTTCTTGTCTGGTCATTATTTGTCACCCGCGAGGGACACACTTTCTCCTGAGATCTTTCATGTGGAACTTTTCCATCCCCTATCCGCTGAGGCAACAGCTTGTTCTTCCACTGTAGATAAGGTAGAAGACTGTTTCCAGTTTGGCTTCCAGTAAGCTGTTCATAAGATGAGTCTATAGGCTCTTGCTTGGGTTTTTTAAGAAGCGGTCCTTGAACTGCTTGTGAATCACATCTAACTATCTTACCAAGAACCGATGCACTGGGTTTATTCAAATCATTATTAGAGTCATTAAGGCTGCGTTTGGGTAATGAGACAAAATTAGATGTGGTCATCACTGTTAAAGAAGACTGGTTGCAACTGTCTGCTACTTGAGATATAGGCTTCGATGTCGAAGGATTGGATACTGAGTTCTCCAGTAGAACGTTGTTTTCTTGTGGATTGACAGCAGAGGTTGATACATTGTGCTCCGAAAATGCAACTCCTCTTTCTTGATACGATAGACCGAATAGAGAGCTGCAACTCTGAGTAGCACAAT